ACCAAGGGTGGTTTTAAAGTGCTATTATCGAGTTTTCGCAAAACTCAAGATATGCTCTTGGCGCTGGATATTCAATTTAATAGCCTCAAGCTGTTAAATGAGTCTCCTAGGCGCAAAAAAACCGCAACTGGTGGGCAGCATATTGGCGGATCCCAGCCACCAGTGATAGGCACTGCACAGCAGCCTCCCTCGACTCTGCCCCCGACCTCGGGACAAATTCCAAGAATCCTGAGATCGAGCGCTAAAATATATTCGGTATCCGAATGCGTCGCGGGTGAGACCGTGCCCTCCGTTTTGCCCAGTTCCGGGTTGTCCACTGGGGGATCCCAACTGTTGTCCTCTCAGAGCCCTAATCCAAGTCCCTGCCAGAGTATCAGGCCCGGACTACCGGCCGAAAGTGGTATGGTGGATCAGTCTGCCGTGCCAAAACCCCTTATGGCAATTCCACCAACAAAACAGTTATTTGTTTCGCGGCTTTCCCCTGATCAGGCATCGGAAGATGTCATAGCTTTTATCCAAGGCAAAGGAAAAGTCGATAGAGAAAAAATTAAGGTGGAAAAATTTAAATTTTCTTATCCTAGGAACATTTCGTCTTTCAAGATAAATGTTCCTGACGAAGTCTTTGGCACTCTATGCTCTGCCCAAACCTGGCCACAGCATGTGGTTGTCAAAGAGTTCGAAGGTAAGGAAAAGAAAAAGCGGCCTTTAGGAATTACTCTTCCTAGGCCAGATTTGCCCAATGCGCCTTCTACGTCTGTTAATTCCGTCCCAAAAAACTAACCAACTCCCTTGGTATTTCCTATCAGAATGCAAGAGGCTTACGCAGTAAGCTTCCTAAATTGTATTCTGACAGCGTCACATTTGCTTCCCAAGTTATTGTGTTCACAGAAACCTGGCTAAAGCCGGAGATTCTGAGCTCCGAAGTTTTTTCAGCTGCGTTCACAGTATACCTGCTAGATCGGCCTATCAGACGTGGGGCGGTCGACTCCACTCTCACGTCCGAATTAATAACTTTCGAGGAATCCAACGATGTTGAATTCCTTTGCGTGAAGCTATCAGTTAATGGTAGTTCCATTTTCGTTACATGTTCCTACATTCCTCCATTGTCGGAACTTCCTATTTATTGGAACCATCTTTTGCTATTCAGTTGGTCTCCAAAAGACTTTCGGATAGAGACCATTTAGTAGTTTTGGTGATTTGAACATCCCAGGGGCTATTTGGTCCCTAGATAATTCCACTAATACACTTCTTACCACAACACATCATGATTTTATTGCTGGCTTGTTTGACATTTCGCTGTCCCAAGTCAACCATGTACGAAATTCCTTAGAGCTCTTGCTTGATCTTTGTTTTGTCTCAGATCCGGAAAGAGTTAGTTTAGCTAAGGTGGCGCCCCTGACGCAACCCGAAGATCCCTATCATCCCACTTTCGATGTGACTATCGACATGGGGACTGTTTCACGCAAAAAACCTGACTGTCCAGCCCAAGAAGTCTTCTGCTTTAGCAAGACGGATTTCGTACGGCTGAATAATTTCATAATTGATTACAACCAATATTTTTGCTCAGTTTTTTGAAACCACTTACTCCAACTTAATAGACCCAAATCTGGCTTATTCTTACATCATCCCCAAATCGAACCAAATCTTCAGTCCTACCTTAAACGAAAGCTCTCTTCGTATAGATCTTCATCGTATTAAGCCAGTTTTTTTACCAGTTCCCGACGGAATACCAGGCTGTGTGCTTAGGAATTGTGCCGAAGCCCTGTGCAATCTTACATCATCCCCAAATCGAACCAAATCTTCAGTCCTACCTTAAACGAAAGCTCTCTTCGTATAGATCTTCATCGTATTAAGCCAGTTTTTTTACCAGTTCCCGACGGAATACCAGGCTGTGTGCTTAGGAATTGTGCCGAAGCCCTGTGCAATCCACTTCTAAAATTGCTTACCTTATCCTTAGAAACCTCCCACTTTCCCCTTATTTGGAAGGAATCATTCGTTATTCCTCTCCACAAAAAAAGGTAGCAAATTGGATGCCAACAATTACAGAGGTATCTCTAAGTTGTCGGCCATCCCTAAACTGTTCGAAAATGTTATTACTCCTCATCTGCAGCACCTGTGTAGGTCAATTATTTCTCCATGTCAACATGGTTTTATTAGCCGAAGATCAATTACAACTAATCTGTTGGAGCTCACTTCCTTTATTATAAAGGGCTACCGAAATAACTTTCAGACAGATGTAATCTATACTGATTTCAGTAAAGCATTTGACTCTGTTAACCATTCTCTTCTGGTTCGGAAACTCGACTAATGGGATTTCCGACTGATCTTCTTAATTGGATCTCATGTTATCTAAATGGCAGGACGCAAAAGGTCCTTTTTGAAAATAAACTATCTAATGTTCTTAGGGTTACATCTGGTGTCCCGCAAGGGAGTCATTTGGGTCCCCTATTGTTTACATTATTTATCAACGATCTGCCCGAAGTTTTGACCAACTCCAGAGTACTTATGTACGCTGACGACGTCAAGCTTTGTGTGCAATATAACGACGCTACTTGCCAATCAGACTTACAGACAGATCTTAACAATTTTCAAACATGGTGCTGCGTGAACTTATTAAACTTAAATGGATCTAAGTGCAAGCTAATGACATTCTCCCGTGTCACTCCTAAGCCTGCAACTTATACGCTAAACGGCAGCTCTTTGGCAAAAATTAATATAGTTGATGATTTAGGTGTCCGTCTGGATCCTAAGCTCGACTTTATCGATCATATTTCGTGCATGGTGAATAAAGCTAGGGGTGTGCTTGGTTTCATTAAACGGTGATCGAAGGAATTTAATGACCCCTATGTTACAAAAAAGTTATATACTTCACTTGTTCGTCCCATCTTAGAATATGGATCCTGCGTTTGGAGCCCTCAGTATGGCGTTCATAGTAAACGCATAGAATCGATTCAAAAGAACTTCTTACTTTTCGCTTTACGCGGCTTAAACTGGGATTCAAACCAGAGGTTACCGTCTTATTCTAGTAGACTCTTACTAATTAACTTACCCTCCTTATCTAATCGTAGAACCATGCTAGGTATTACATTCCTATACAACTTAATCCGTGGTGACGTGGAAAGTACTGACTTGCTCGGTCAGCTAAATTTTCAAGTACCAATAAGAAACACTAGATCCTTTTTACCATTAGTTTTGCCCCACTGTAGAACTGCCTTTGAAATGCATGAACCCTTTAGAGTCCTCTGTGCAAATTATAATGATATGTACACCATAATATCTAATGTTGATAGCCTCCCAAAACTAAAAACTTCAATCTTAACCTACTTAGTACGCATGCAAGCAACCAATCCGGCAGTACGCCAGTAGTAGTTTCCCCGCATCCTTTTTTTTAATTCCTTCGCGTTTACTAATTGCTAACAGAACAAGCACGTGCTTGGTGTCGCAAATTCCATTTACTGTACATAGTGCATCAACGTCTTGCAAAAAAAAATATATATATCTCAGAGTAGATGAAAATACGTTGAAAAACAACGAAGTTATAATTTTTTTTCCTATTAATTTCCCTATCTTTCCTATGGCAGCTATATCATATAGTCATCCGTTTTTCATAAAATTGTTACCAAAAATTATAAATAATATATAATGGTCATATCTAAAAAAGTATGCAAAAATGTTGAAAAACAGCCAAGTTATAATTTTTTTCTAAAAATTTATCGAACATTTGTATGGCAGCTATATGATATAGTCGTCCGATCCGGCCCGGTTCCGACATATATAGCAGTGAGAGTATATAGAAGACTACATGCAAAGTTTCATTCAGATAGCTTTAAAACTGAGGGACTAGTTTGCGTAGAAACAGACAGATGTACGGACGGACAGACGGACATGGCTAGATCGACTCGGCTGTTGATGCTGATCAAGAATATATATACTTTATAGGGTCGGAAACGTCTCCTTCACTGCGTTGCAAACTTCTGACAGAAATTATAATACCCTGCAAGGGTATAAAAATCTGAAATAAAATAATTTAGCCATATCTCAAAAATTATGCAAAAATTTTGAAAAATAGTTAAGTTATAATTTTTTTTTCTGAAAATTGATCGAATATTTGTATGGCAGCTATATGATATAGTCGTCCGATCCGTTCCGTTCCGACATATATAGCAGTGAGAGTATATAGAAGACTAACTGCACAGTTTCATTCAGATAGCTTTAAAACTGAGGAACTAGTTTGCGTAGAAACGGACAGACGAACGGACAGACGGAAGGACGGACGGACAGACGGACAGACGGACAGACAGACAGACATGGCTAGATCGACTCAGCTGTTGATGCTGATCAAGAATATATATACTTTATAGGGTCGGAAAGGTCTCCTTCACAGCGTTGCAAATTTTACCTGAAATAATACCCTGAAAAGGTAATTTTTTTTCTAAAAATTATAGCTTGGCTGTTTTTCAACATTTTTGCATAATATTTGAGATATGGCCATTTTATGTTATTTCAGAATTTCGTTTTTAATTTTATGAAAATCTTATAGCTGCCATAGGAACGATCAAGAAATTTATAGAATTATTTATTATTTCAGAATTTTGGTATACATTTTATGAAAATCGGACAACTATATCATATAGCTCCCATAGAAACGATCGGTATATATGGAGAAAATGTAAAGCTGGTAATGTAGAACTGTAACTCTCGAAACATAATAAGTATAGGTAAAATGTAATGAAACTCTGTTTTGTGAGTTTTCAGCGTTTATATTTATAATATAAATATCAAAGCCAACTTATTATTTGCTATGTATAAATAAATAACTTTTATATGTATATTTCCGTTTCTTTACTTCTATTAATTTAGCCAGAATGGCTCGATTCTTAATGATCCAATTGCAATCTACAATTGGATCACGAAGTTAGCTTCCTTTCTTGTTATAATATAACTTATAATGATTACAGTGCCTAGTATAAAGTAATTTTATTTATCTTATTAATTTTAAGGTCACGGTGATCAGGATGAACTTGGTCCAGAATTTTTAGCGCAATTGACAAATATAACGGTACCCCAAGGACGTGACATATCATTTACATGCGTTGTTGACAACTTAGGTCAATATCGGGTAAGTAACACAGATTTAGTGTGATTGCTAATAGAATCCCCCAGTAACAAAGTTTGCTCTATACAATTATATTACACTATTCATTATTAATACATACATATATAATATATTAAATATATATAATCTTTATATTAGTAATACTTAGACAATAATGAAGAAACTCCTTCCACATATCATTAATGTTTACAATTCTTTTAAGCTACATCCACATTCCCCTCACCTTGGAAGAAAGCTAAGTAATTCCTTTCAAACGTTTTTTGAGAATTACTTATAACCATACAAGAATTCCGGCTTAGGAAAAAAATGGGAAGCTAACATTGACTCGCCGATGTTTGTCGATACATTTTGGTTAAGTAAATAGAAAAACTAATATAAGATATATGTATTTGTCGGAAAGTTGGTTACTAAGTGCAAATTTGGAATGCTTGTTGCCATGGCAAAATAATTATTCGGAATGCTCAGGTATTGGTAGCCCTGTAGGTGTCGATGGCGCGCAGGCGCAATGACAGTTGAGTCGGTAACAGGACAAGTACAGAAGACTGTTAGGCCACGCGCACACTGGCAGCGGAAAGCGGAGCTGAGAGCGGAGCTGATAAGCGAGCTGATAATTTCAGTGCAAATTTTTCAGCTCAGCTCCGCTTTCAGTGTGCGCGCTCTCATACAAGTAGTGTGTTTGTTTCAGAGAGCGGATAAGCCGTCAGCCGTCAGCTTCGCTTTCAGCCGGCAGTGTGCGCCCGGCCTTACTGAGTGAGGTCTGTTCGTCTGTCGCAACAATAGGAGAGAGTGAGAGAGACAGCTTGAGATGGTCTAGGTTTGACGTCTGAGTGAAAAGTAAGAAAAGGTGAAAGGGCCACAGGAAAAGTGGCGTGAGGGAAAATTGGATTAGACAGCGCAGGCGAACAGAATTCGCTGGCTCGACTACGGTTGAACTAAAGAACGGTTATCTCCGACATCAGAAGTGGGATTCACCACAGCCTCGCGGGCATTCTGATTAAGTGATTTTCGGTCGATATTAAATGCAGCGGCGCATCGGGAGCTTGCGCAGCCGCGTGGTGCAGGACACCGGAGCCGTGACAGGCTGGCGAATGCCATATCTGCTTTCCCTTAGACACCATAGTCACAAATGCATATATTACCCATTAAAAATTGATTAATCAAAGAATCAAAGCGAACTTTAAACAAAAATAGAATTGCATTGGACATTAAATTACGATCTTCTTTGCTGTACGCACACTTTTGAGAATGCTATTTTTAAAGGGGTTTGGGTAAAATGGTCATTATAAGAAAACCGCTAGGCTCATAATTCTGCAAAAATAAAGAGGCGACGTCAATTGAATGACTAATAGATTGAACCAATTTTTGATTCGCAGTGCAAAATATTTGCAGAGTTATTTGACATTAAAGTCAATGTTATGATTTTTTATTGTCCTGTACGCAGAGATATGAGAGCAAGTGTAAGTGTGTTGACTGTACCAGGGTTTTCATTTAACGTTGCCAAATGTGGGTTTCTACTCCGCAGTATCTGAGCTATGAGGTGTGCGGTGGGGAAATCAGATCCAATTCCTAGGAAATCCTTACGTTAAAGGTCCGTCCTTTCAATCGGTGCAATTAAGTGATCGTTGTAAGGATGCCTTTTGCTGGGGTCGGCGTCTCAGTCCGCCCAGAGTCCTCATCAGATAAAATTTTTATCTTTGAGACAGTTGAGGAGGGGGTATCATAATATTATATTTGGGAAAATTCTTACTCGGGTCACCGAGTCGCGTACCGGCGGCTATGCCGCGACGGACGCTTATGGAAAGAAAAATATATATATATATTTTTTTTTATGCTTTGCTTTTATTTATTGAATCTTCTCATTTGTGAGACTAACAATAAGTGTATCAAATCTTACAATACTACCTAACTAGCAGTCATGAGACTGGTACAGAGTAAATGGCCCTGACTAATTATGGCAGGGTTGGATGGTCGTTACGTAGTAGGCGGCTGGAAACTCGTATCAAGTCCCTTGCTAAAGGATTTGGAGGGGTGGAGAGTTTTTCTTTGTAGGACGCTTTTTGTTTTTCTATTTCGTTCTTAACTGCAGGAATGCCGATATCCCTGTGTATGTGTTCGTTGCGAATATACCATGGTGCCCCAGTGATAGTTCTCAGGATTTTTGATTGGGCGCGCTGTATGATGTCTAGGTTGGTACTGCACGCGTTCCCCCAGAGCTGGGAGCCATACGTCCATATTGGCTTCAGTGTCGAGTTGTAGAGCAGGACCTTGTAGTCCAGACACAGGGGCGATCGGGAGTTTATGAGCCAGTGGAGGCTGCTGGCTTTTAGTTTTAGATGAATTTTCTTACATTCAATGTGTCTTCGCCATGTTAGGCGTCTGTCCAGGTGGACGCCCAGGTACGTTACCACGTTGACTTCGGGGATCTGCGTGCTGTTCAGGTAGAGCGGAGGGCATGTTTGTCTGTTGAGAGTGAACGTTATGTGCTTACACTTTTGTTTATTTATTTTAAAACGCCAATCAGATAGCCACTTCTCGACTACCTTGAGGTGGTTGGTGAGCTGGGTTGTTGCCCGGACTGGACATATGGAACGGCTGAGGATCGCAGTGTCGTCAGCGAAAGTGGATAGTGTTATCTGGTCGCTTGTGGGGATATCCGCTGTGTATAGGACAAATAGGGTAGGCCCAAGTGCGCTTCCTTGTGGAACTCCAGCTTCGATTGAATAGGTGCCGGATGTTGCTGCGTTGCACCTCACTGCGAAGACTCTGTTGTAGAGATACGACTCAAGTAATTTGTGTGTGTATGCCGGCAAGAGTGTTTTAATTTTGTGCATGAGGCCATTGAGACAGACGCGGTCGAATGCTTGAGAAACGTCTAGAAATATTGCGCTGCAATATTCTCGATGTTCGAAGGCTGTGCGAATTTCTGATGTTATTCTGTTAACTTGCTCTATAGTTCCATGCTTTTCTCTGAAGCCAAATTGATGAGCTGGGATGATGTTGTGAGCTCCCAGATAAGGAATTATGCGCTTTAGTAGACATTTTTCAAATAACTTGGACAAGCATGATAGTAGACTTATTGGTCGGTAAGATGATGGAATCGTGTGGTCTTTTCCGGGCTTCGGTATCATTATAATTATAGATATTTTCCATTTAGTTGGGTTGAAAGACCCCCAAATAAATGAGAAGTCTTCATGTGTTGAGTTTGTGTAAGAAACTGATTTTATTTCATTCAAGCCCTAGCTTATATAGCTAACATGAGAATGTACATTGTAGATCTTAGTTCTAAACCCACGCATCGGACAGTTCCCGATCGCGAGAAATATTCTAAGCGCAATAAGGGTGCACATGTCAACCCGATCGTAAATATCCTAAACAAACCCAGACCGCGCACAGGAGGTCATATTTCGGGTTACTTGTTACATAGGCTCAAGTGGCGGTTTCTTATAGCTATGCACACAAGTGCTAGACCGTGCACTGCGGCAGAGATTTATTTAATGTTTAACAGATGCGTTCTTATCTATAACCGTGTTCATGTTTGAACATTCTGCCAAGGGCCAGCAAGGTGTAGGTGTACATTTAAATTAGTTGCAATAAAAACATAAGTGGACTGTATTTATTTTGTTTCATTCGATATATTTTGCAACTAACCTTTTGCAACGGCCTCTGTATCATGGCTTAATAAACAATTACATTTTCATTTCTTTTAATTTCATTTTAATTATTAAATTTCACAAATACAATTCAATTCAAATTACAAACATAATTTCATGTTCATGTGTGAACATTCTGCCAATGGCCAGCAAGTGTAAGATTTTAGTTTACCAAATTCTCAACAAAAAAATACAATTAAATTTCAAATACATATTATTAAAGAGGTATGACCCAATATGTGATGCACCCTTAACACTTTTTTATATGGGGCATATTCCTTTTCCATTTACCTCTCTTTTTGAATTTTTGCTCAAATTTTCTAACTTTTGCCATTGCTGGTGGCTTTGATTCTTCTACTAATTTTTTATCTTTAACAGGAATCTTTACAATATATCTACAAATTGTGGTTTTTATAGAATTATTTTTCCCTATTGACTGAGTGCCCTTGGACTTAGTTCTCCCAGAGACAATCCACCCAAACTTAGTATTCTGACCTAGCAAACCATCTATTTTTGCCAAACCTCTCTTCATGATATGCGTATATATATCCGCTCCAATAATAACATCAACTCGACCTGGCTTATTAAAGTCCGGGTCAGCTAATGTAAAGTTTTGCCATTTGGACTTGTCTACCTCTACCTTATTTATTGGTAGGGCTTTCATTAATTTGGGCAATATTCTTGCCTCGTTTATTACATCCTTTTTTGATGTAGGGTCGTCAATAATTAATTTTATTTTATGTTTTGACACACATATATCTGTTGAAGAAATTCCACTAATTCTTTTTTTGCTTTTATTCGAGGCAGCTTTAAAATTTGAGCTGCCTCCTCTGATATGATAGTGCTTTGGGATCCACTATCTATCAGAGCTCTTAAATTTTTAAAATCGCCATTTGCCGATTTTACCTTGATTTTTGCTGTTGTAAGCAACGCCTGAGTTGAAGTCACGCTGGTGTTGACATTTTTCCTATTTTGAGAATATGCAATATGCAGCATTGAATGATGCCTTCTATTGCACAGCGAACACAAATTTTCGCTGGCACATCTTCTGATGTCTGAATGCTTCAGGCACTTTATACATAATTGTGCTTTTCTTACGACTTCTAGTCGTTCTGTGGGATTCATACCCTTAAATTTGTGGCACTGCGTTACAATGTGACCCATCATTTTGCAGATGTGGCACTTTCCTTCATTCATGTTTAAAAATTCGTTTCTTTTCGAACCATAATTATTTTTGGCAAAACTTTTTGAAAAATTAAAATTTCTATTGACAGGTTTTTCTTCCTGTACAGAGCTAGTGGAACTCAGCCGCTGCTCTAAAAATTCCATTACATCCGCCAATTGCTGGATGTC